GAGAAAAACTTTGGAAGTAGCCAAAGCTGGCATTATTGATATTGATTCCGAAATTGCTAAGGCATGCGAGCTTGAGTTGGCTACAAAACATAGACTCCCGGTGCAGTCTGATGCTCTAGATTCTTCTGATTCTGGTTCCGATATTTCTGATACTAAAGAGGAATCAGAAGGCGATGATGCCGAGGACCCAGTTGGAAAAGATGTTGAGCCATCAGTGGCACCAGCTATTGCTCCCGGGGTTACAAATACTTCTCGTCCTTCCGATTCTGGCGACGTTGCAGTTTAGTTTTACCTTTATTTGTTTTGCAATTCCTTTTGGTACATCCTTGTAAATGTTTACGTATTGTTGCTCAAATATTTGGCTGAGTCTTACTTTTGCTTGGATATTTGTTCGTATTTTCCTGTATGTTTCTGTCTCCGAGAATTATCCCTTTTACATGAGGGTTTCACTAAGTATTTGCGCAAGTTTGGTTTTTGTGCCTTTTTTTATGCGACTTTGGGTGTATTTTTTCCCCGATAACATTTTTGATTCTGGGCATACATTTTTTTGGGATCAACCCTTTAACGTGAGGGTTTTTTATAAGAATTTGCGCAAGTCTTCCTTTTGCGTCTTTTTCATAAATGGCTTCGGGTGTATTTTTCCCGATAGCATTTTGATTCTGGGCATACATTCTTCCCGGAGCAACCCTTTAACGTGAGAGTTTTTTTATAAGAGAGGGCCCTCTTATGTTTACGGTGCTATTGAAGAGGACGTCGCATGTTCATTACAGCACTAGCATTTGAAGTACTTGTTTAACTTTCAAATGACATAATTAACTCATTGTTCAGACAAGAAACAAGATAAAAGCAAAAGGATTTCATTCCTTCTATTTTCATAGTTTATATAGGCATTTTTCTATGTAAAAAAGAAGTTGCCATGACTTGTGGCTATCTTGTACAACTTGTTTCTACGGGGCTGGCTATGCAGTCCCCTGTCCCGATGATGGGTGGCATTCAGTGTTGCCTTGCCGGTTTCGTTTCCGGTTGATATGGCATTCAATGTTGCCTTGTCGGATTTTCGTTCCCGGTTGACGTGGCATTCAGTGTTCCCTTGCAATCATATCATCATCCCGCCCAGTGTTCTAATACGAAGAATGCGAGTTGGAACACTGGAAGTCTTGTATCTTCGAAGGTTCCACCAATGAATTGCTACGTATCCCTTTGCTCGGTAACATATTTTGCTTTCCCTTAGGAATTCATGTTGTTGAGCAAAAGAATACCTAACAATCCTCTAGTGGTGTTGGGTAACCTCTGTTAGGTAGCAAACTCATCTTCCCGGCGGGAATCTGCAATTGAATCAAAGATTATCTGACCATCCCCGAGTAGAGACTTGCTTGTTTACCTTGTCCTCAAAAGGTCTTATGACTGCTGGTTTTGTAGTATGCTTGTCGTTTCTGCCTCATTAAAAACCTTACTTTTCGTTTGACCGTTGTTTGTCAGCACTAATATTTTTTTAGATGAGCCACGTTCCAATTGTTGTGCAGCTTGTCTCCGTTGTGGTTTTCCAACTCGTCCGACCCTTTACCGGTGATAGCTGAAACCCAGTAAGGGCCTTCCCATGTAGAGGCTAATTTGCCTACATTGAGTTCTCAGGTGTTCTGAGTCACCTTCCTCAAGACCAAGTCTCCCACTTTGAAATAACGGAGGTTGGTTCTTTGATTGTAATATCTCTATATTCTCTGTTTTTTGCGCTGCCAGTCTGACATGCGCTAATTCCATGCGTTCCTCGAGCAGTTCCAAGTTGATTTGCATTGCCTCGTTGTTTTATTCTTCGTTTGCTTGGGAATACCTTAAAGTGGGCTCCCCTACTTTCACATGTATCAAAGCTTTTGCGCCGTACACAAGGGGAAAAAAGGGTTTCTCCTATGCTTGATTTGGACGTTGTTCGGTAGGCCTATAGTACCCCCGGTAACTCTTCGGGCCAGTGGCCTTTCGCTGCTTCTAGCCTTTCGCTGCTTCTAGCCTTTTCTTTAGATTTTGCACAACTGTTTTGTTTGTCGACTCCACTTGTCCGTTTGCACTTGGATGGTAAGGCGAAGAAGTAATCCTTTTTATCTTAAGATTTTCAAGGAACTTTGTAACTTTTGCGCCGATAAACTGTGGCCCGTTGTCGCATGCAATCTCCTTCAGTATTCCGAACCTACATATTATATTTTCCCACAGGAAGTCGACCACTTCGCATTCTTCGATCTTTGGTAAGGACCTGTTTCCACCCATTTGAAAAAATAGCCAGTTAAAATTAAAAGAAATCTTACCTTTTCCGGAGCCGGTGGTAGCAGTCCTACGATGTCCATTCCCCATTTCATGAATGGCCACAGGGACAGAATTGAATGTAGTGGTTCTGCTGGTTGATGTACTAGTGGTGCATGGCGTTGGCACTTATCGCATTTTCGTACAAAGTCCTTAGCATCTAGCTCCATATGGGGCCAATAATATCCTTCCCTGACTAGTTTCAGCACCAAAGAATCTGCACCCGAGTGGTTTCCGCATACTCTTTCGTGGATTTCCCTCATGACGTAGCCGACTTTCGAAGTTGTATCGCGTGGCTTTGGTGCGCAACGCTCTAGACGCTTTGGGGTCTTTGGGCAGTTTCCCGTGTTCGAGATAATCGATTATCGCGTTTATCCAATCCCAGACCAGATTGGTCAAATTCACCACATAGTAACCATTTGTGTCTAAGGTTGAGTTCATCGGTTGAACTACCGCCCCTGATTCTGGTCCCTGAAGTTTTGTTGATGAGCCCAGATTTGCTAATGCATCTGCTTCTGCGTTTTCTTCCCTCGGGATATGGGTAATTGACCACTCCCAGAATCGTGACAATAAGGCCTGAACCTTTACCACGTATTGTTGCATTCGCTCATCTTTGATGTCAAAAATTTCGTAGACCTGATTTACCACTAGCTGCGAGTCACATTTGATGTTGATGGCTTCAGAGTCGAGCCCCCAGGTCAATTCGAGCCCTGCAATCAAAGCTTCGTATTCTGCTTCATTGTTAGTTAAAGTAACCGTCCTGATAGATTGCCTTAAGGTTTCCCCCGAAGGTGTGACCAGGACTATTCCGAGCCCAGACCCTTTCACATTAGAAGTTCCATCTGTGAATAAGGTCCAAACTCTCGGTGCCAGCTTTGACACCATTATTGCTTCTTTGGCAGCTAGGAGCAATAACCCTTGGCTGAAGTCGGCTATGAAGTTAGCCAAGACTTGTGACTTAATCGTAGTCCTTAACTTATACTCTATGTCGAACTCGCTCATTTGAACGGGCCATTTAGCCAACCTACTCAAGATCTCGGGTTTATGGAGTATGTTCCGCAAATGAAAAACAGTCACCACCAATATCGGGTGGCATTGGAAATAGGCCCTCAGCTTCCAGGCGGTTACCACGAGAGCTAAGTCTAGCTTTTCCAGATGTGGGTAGCGAGTTTCTACTCCCGTTAAAATTTTGCTAACGTAATATGTGGGGAATTGCGTACCTTTTTTCTCCTGAACCAAAACTTCGCTTACCATAATTTCTGAGACCGCCAGGTAGACCAGCAATGCTTCTCCTTCTTTAGGTTTCAAGAGCAACAGAGGGCTTGACAAGTATTTCTTCAATTCCTTCAAGGCTTGTCGACACTCTGGCGTCCACTCGAAGTTGTTTTTCTTTTTGAGCAGTGCGAAGAAGTGATGACACCTTTCCGATGACTGGGAAATGAACTTGCTCAATGCTGCTAATCTGCCTGTGAGTCTCTATACTTCCTTTACGTTGAATAGTTGATCCGGGATATCTTCTATGGCCTTGATTTTATCGGGATTCATCTCAATTACTCTTTATGAGACCAGGAATCCTAAGAATTTACCCGAACTGACCCCGAACGCACACTTCTCGGGGTTAAGCTTCATATTATTCTCCCTCAGTGTGTCAAAAGTTTCTTCCAGATGTCTCAGATGGAAACATGCTTCCAGATACTTGACGAGCATATCTTCTATGTATACTTCCATAGTTTTTCCTATCTATTTTTTGAACATCTTATTTACGAGTCGTTAGTAAGTGACTCCGGCGTTTTTTAGTCCAAAGGGCATTACGTTGTAAAAATATGTACCAAATTTTTTAATAAACAAAGTCTTTTCCCGGTTTTTTGGGTTCATCTTGATCTGATTGTACCCGGAATAGGCATCGAGGAAACTTATTAGCTCGTGCCCGGCCGTAGCATCGATCATTTGATCGATATTCGACTATGGGAACGAGTCCTTCGGGCATGCCTTATTAAGATCTTTATAATCTACGCACATGCGAAATTTATTATTTTTCTTAGGGACTACTACCACATTAGCTATCCAGTCCGAATATCTTACCTCTCGTATTGAACCAATCTTGAGTAGACGGGTTACCTCTTCTCTGACGAATTTATTCCTTGCTTTTGTAATAGGGCGCCTCTTTTGCCTTACCAGAGGTATGCTCGGGTCTAAGCTTGACTTGTGCACGACTATCTCTATTGGTATTCCTATCATATCCTTGTGCGGCCATGCAAAACAATCGGCGTTAATTTTAAGGAATTCAATAAAATTTGACATGAGCTCCGGATGTAGTCGTGTTCCCAAATGAAATTTCCTTTCTGGGAATTTTTCGAACAGTGCAACCTGATATAGCTCTTCTACCGTGGATTTTGTTGCGTTTGTTTCTTCCGGTACTTGAAAATACCTTGGTATATGATATTGCTCTGACTCTCCTGCCTCCAGGGAAACTTCTTCTGGTTCGGGGTCGGAAGTTAGTTCCGGTAACTGCTATGCCGCTGGTTTCTTTCCCTTGATATGGGAGACTGAGATCACATTCATCTCTCTTGCTATTGGTTGATCACCTCTTATCCGCTTGATCCCCTCGGGTGTTGGAAATTTCAATGATTGGTGGTACGTCAAAGGCACAACTTTTATCTCATGTAACCATGGCCTTCCCAGGATGAGTTTATATCCCATGTCCCTATTTACTATTCCCCTAGGGTTGTCACGCTTGCGAGGTTGAACCCATCAAGGAGCTTTGTTGCAGGTACGATGCTCCTGGTGAGTTTATCTTGATCTAGAACTCTCCATTGTATGATATTGGCAGAACTTCCTGGGTGCACTAAAACATGTTTAATTTTGAAATTTAACACATTTAAGGAGATTTCCAGTGAATCATTGTGCGGCAGTTGTAATCCGTACGCGTCTTCATCAGTGAACATGATATCATCCTCGTGGAGCCTCTTACTATGGGTTGTCGATACTTTTATCTTCTTTGCGGCCGAGAAGGTGATCCCATTAATCTCATTCCCTCCGAAGATCATGTTGATCATTTGGCGTGGAGGTTCCTTTCCTGCTCTCGAGTTTTGCATGTCGCCCTTGTCCCGGCCATAGTTATTTTTGGCTCGATCGCTCAAGAATTCTCTAAGGTGACCATTTTTTAACAGCGTTGCCACTTCTTCACGGAGGTGCCGGTAGTCCCTAGTCCTGTGACCATTAATGTCATCGTATTCACACCATATATTTGGGTCCATCTGGCTAGGATTGGACCTCATCGGTCTCGGGAACCGCACCACTTTGATGTCTCTCATGGCCGACACTAACTCCACCGCACTGATGTTGAAGTTATATTCTGATAACTTTGGATAGGAAGGACCTCGTGGCCCTGGGGTGTCCCTATCCTACAACGATCTGTTATTCCGCCTCGGATCAGTCCTCCTGTCGTTGAAAACCTTGTCTACCGATCAGAAGTTCCTCCCGCGACCTTCCGTCTGCTCGTAGGGTAGAAACTGGTTCCTTGAAACTCGTCTATGTGAGTCGACATCGTCCTTTATTTTTTCTTTGTTCTTCTTCCGTCCCTTTGATGATGACAAGATGTCAACCTGATCGTATTCGATCCTTATCTTTGACTCGTACCGGTTGTGGACATCCGCCCAAAGTTGTTTCTTGAAACTCAAGCAGACTTTCCTTGAACTTCCGGGAAGCATCCGAACTCCTCAGGTTCAAACCCTTAGTGAACGCTTCAGCTGCCCATTCATCCGGGACGACCGGTAACAACATCCTTTCCTTCTGGAACCGACTAACGAATCTTCGTAATAATTTGGATTCTCCTTACGCGATCCTGAATATGTCGGCCTTTCGGGCTTCTACCTTTCTGTCACTGGCATGGGACTTAATGAACGAATCCACGAACATTTCGAAGGAATCTATGGAATTCTCGGGCAATAATGAGTACCATGTCAAGGCTCCCCTCGTGAGAGTCTCACCAAAATATTTCTATAACACGGACTCAATTTCGTGAGGAGCCAGATCATTTCCTTTCACCGTTGTTGTCTAGGTGGTTATGTGCTCCTATGGATCTGAAGTTCCATCATATTTTGGCACTTCATGCATTCTGAATCATTTTGGTATTAGTTCCGGGGCTGCACTCGGCTTGTTCGGTAATTGGATGTACTTCTTTGAGCTCGGGACTTTCAATATTGGGGGTGCTCCCTGGATTTGGTCCATGTGAGCGTTTACCTCCTTCATGATCCACAAGATTTCCTCCTTAAACTGATCGTTATCTTTGTTGAGGCCAGATCTACTCGCCCCTGGGAGTGTTGTTGTCAATTCTTTGCATTTTTTGGTTTGTAGGAATAATGGGAGGAACTGGATATTGCCCGTTTGCATTATTTGAAGTGCATGACAATGCCTGTTTTAACTCTGTCATAACCTGATCCTGCCGCGTGAGGTGGCCTAGAATGATTGTATGTTGTTCTTGCAGGACCCTTACCGCATCTTCTACGTGCCCCTGGTCAGCATCATATGGAGTCGCCTCCCGTACTTGTCTGGGGTACCGCCTGTCATACACCGGCATGACATCTTCCTCCTCATTACGAGTGTCGCTGATCAAGTCCTCAAAATGGGTGTTTTCCCCTTGAACCTCAGGATTGCGAGTGTTATTAATGGTATTGATTGCCATTTTTTATGATTTTGCTAAGAAAAGAATGATCAAAACTTGTGAGTGAAAGAAGTAAGGACCAACGTAACCACACGATTGTCTAGGCCCCACGGTGGGCGCTAAGCTGTTTACCCGAAAAATGGTACAGTTGAATTTGTTCGTGGTTTCTAGAAAAATGAATCAATTTGATCCCAAAAGATAATTAATCAGTCAATTTGGATGCAAGATACTTAGCTCAAATGTAGATAAAATGATATATTTGGAGAGCCCAAAAATAGGATTTTCGGGAGCAATAATAATAAGATCAACAAGCTAGAGAGAGAAAAATAGTATCAAGATGTTGTATTAGAATATCTTCCTTGATGTCCGGAAAATTCCTCCTTTATAATGATAGTTGAGCCTATTATTTATAGCCCAGTGGGCATAATGGTCGGGCCCACCACTAATAACAATTATTGGAAAGGGATAATGGAAGCCTGACAATAAACATAAATGCCCAAATTCCTGTAATGAGCCGTTACTCTTTAATGTTGTGGAATATTCTTCATTAAATGCTATCGGGCGCAGCATGCATAGTGCCTTTATGGATTTGCCTTTCTCGATGACACACGAGGTATTTGTGCCCGATTTTCCGTCCTCCCGGTTTTGATTCCATGTGTCCCCTTTTTGGTTGGCCACGTACCGTAATGTATTTTACCCAATATAATAGTATGTATGCAGACCTTACCCCTACCTTGTGAATGTAGAGAGGAATAACACTCTTATAAAGGTTAGGAAAATGAGAGAAAGAATGATAGTATTTGTAGTTCTAGTATTTCATCCCCTTACAATGAGTACCAATGTTGTTATTGATAGCTAAATCGAGAGGAGACAAGATCCCAAAATCACCCTGAACATATTGAATTCCAGTGTTTTGCTAAAAAGAAATGTCTGTTTCAAAGTCGGACAACCACCACCTCATACTCTCAGCGTTTCCTCGCTACTCGAGCTGGCCTCGAACTCCCTCGTGTGGTAAAACCTTTATCCCTTTACTCTTTTTCTGGATTTTGCTTCTACTAGTCAAAACTAGGATCATGTTTAGTTTTTATGTCGTTTAATCCTATGTAATTAGGTAGTTTTTTTTATTTCAATTAGCTTCAGTTTTGTTTATAGGTAGTTGTATACGGTCGAAATAGATTTCGGCCTTCGTACGATTGATCGAGGTCAAAACATAATGGATCTAAGAAAGACTTCGTATTATCGAGATGGGTTCCGAAGATGGTACAAACAAGCTTCGGACTCCAGGTATAGGTCGAACACCGAGTTCGAAGTCATCATCGAGCTTGGGTCTGAATCAAACTATGATGAGATGATTTCGAGCTTAAGGGGCAGAGGCCAACCGGGACCGAGTCCGAATCATCACCTGATCCCGAGTCCATATCGAGCTTTAGAAGCATTACCGACCAGCACCGAGGCCGATCGATCTCGAGCTCACAGACAAGAGCCGTTGCAAACACACTAAGGGAGAGAATCTCGGCGAGAATAAGGGAAAAGCTGATTTATCATGGAGTCTCCACTATGTATTTTTAATTATATCTAAAGTAGGATCCTCCACTATAAAGAGGGTGACTACATTTCTGTAGAAGGCAGTTTTTGCTTACATTGTAATTCAAGCACCATATTCTCATATATTCAAGGATTATTCTTTTAAGCTTCATTAATTGATTCATTGTGCTTAGTCCTAAAATCATCTTCTTTCCAACCTTGTATATTTTTCATTCTTTGCAATCCATATTTGATATTTCTATTAATCCCTACGATTTGTATCAAGCTATATCATATATCCTTAGAACTATGTATAAATTCAACTCTATCCGTTTTTCGGGTAAACAGTTTGGCGCCCATCGTGGGGATAAGGATAACAGTGGTCATTTGATACGAATATGCAAAAACACACTGTTTTGCGCTTGTTTCCGAAAGTATCTTGGATTTCTAATTAGCAACAACTAGCTACCAATCAAATGGCCTCATCTATCGACAACGAAATCGGTCTTCAAGATGAGAACAACAACTTGACACCCAGTACCGAAAGACCACTCGTCAACGCTGTTGGAGCTCAAATCGAAGTGCCGATAGATATCAATTCGCATGTGGCCATTGAAGCGAACCTACATTCTGAACCTGAAAATAACATTCATGGTGGCACTCGGTCTGCAGCTCGAGATACCCATAATATCGAGGAAAACGACGTCAGCTTGCGTATGATTTTTGAAATATTGCAAGCTCAACAGGCAGCAATAGCTCAGTTGCAAAACCAAACCCAGCTACCAAGCAGGCCGGAGCCCAGTCCACCTCGAGAAATCGCCCACATAAAGGAGCCAACCATAGTGAGGTCAAATGAGCAAGAATCGGGGACTTCTCCTGAAATTACTAAAATACTCTAGGAGCTCACAAAGCGAGTCGAAGCCAACGATAAAAAAGTAGAAACATATAACTCTAGGGTCGATCAGATCTCGGGAGCTCCGTCAATGATAAAAGGGTTGGATTCCAAAAAATTCGTGCAAAAACCTTTTTCCTCGAGCGCAGCCCCAAAACCAATCCCCAAAAAATTCCCTATGCCCAAAATTCTCAAATATAACGGAACGACCGACCCCAACGAACAAGTAACTTCTTACACGTGTGCCATCAAGGGCAATGATTTGGAAGACGATGAAATTGAATCTGTGTTGTTAAAAAAATTCGGAGAGACCTTCTCGAAGGGAGCAATGATTTGGTATCACATCCTACCACCGAATTCTATCAACTCATTTGCCATGTTAGCAGGTTCTTTTGTAAAAGCACACGCCAGTGCCATAAAAGTCACTACAAGGAAATCCCACCTTTTCAAGGTAAGACAAAAGGATAACGAGATGCTGAGGGAGTTCGTATCTCGTTTTCAAATGGAACGAATGGATCTGCCACCAGTCACAGACGATTGGGCTGTTCAAGGTTTCACTCAAGGTTTGAACGAACGAAGTTCGACGTCTTCACGTCGGTTGAAGCATAACCTGATCGAATACCCAACCATCACGTGGGCCGACGTGCACAATCGATACCATTAAAAAATTAGGATCGAAGATGATTAGTTGGGGTCTGAAACCGTTGCTTGAAGGGATATTAATCGAGAACAAGGTCCGATCAGGGATCGATACCGACCGTATAACGGAAATCACAGAATCAATGAATTGAGACGTAACCCCGGACAAAGCACAAAAGAAGTGATCGAGGTTAAGGGTCTCGGGGGCTGATGAACAGAAGTGGGTTCGACAGGCCTATCGGATCTAAGGAAGAGCCTCGGTTATTAGAGTATAACTTCAGCATTGATGCATCCGCCATCGTGCCGGCTATCGAACGCATCAAAGACACTAAATGGCCTCGACCCATGCAGACTGATCCTGCCTAGAGGAATTCCAATCAAATATGCGAATATCATGGCACCCATGGACATATAATGGAAGATTACAGGCAACTAAGAGAGGAGGTAGCCCGGTTATTCAACAAAGGGCACCTTCGAGAATTTTTAAGCGATAGGGCAAAGAACCATTTTAAAAACAGGGATTTCGGCAAGCAAAATGAACAAGAAGAACCATAGCACGA